GATATCTGGATCTTTTTTACATGTACTGTTGCCAAGCTGGGTCTCTCCCATTCTGTGTCTCTGTCTTTGATAGTTTTGTACCTACGAAACGGAAAACTTCATAAACAGAAAATTTTACGTTTAGCTCTGTGGAATCTCATCTTGTTAAGTTTTGACTTGGTGTTCCAACCTGTCTAGAGTGTTTTAAATCTTGATCCTGTTTAATCATGTGCAAATATTAATATTTGTTTACTTAATACTGAAAGGCTAATTTCCTTTATCCAGTTGTACTGAAGCAGTGTTATATTGTTCTTTTATGCTCAAGAGGCTTGGGAAGAAAAATAGGATGTGATTCAGGATACAGTTTGTATTATGGTTTAGTGGGGCTGTTACTGTTTCTATAGCAAGTACTGCGGATTCAAGAAAAATCAACTTTCACTTGGTGAAAGTCCTGTTAGGGCTTTAAACAGGTTGATTAATTTGTATAGGCTACTGTAACTTAATATGTGTTTTAATTTGGTTTTAACTTTTGTATGCTAATCTTTTATTATGCTTTTAAAGTTGTTTGTATTTTATATTATATTTTTATGTTTTGTTGTAAACTTCCCTGAGAACTCTGGCAATTGGGTGAAATCAAATCAAATACATACATAATATCATTATGACAGAGCATATGAAAAGGCGTAACTCAGCATTCAGTCACAGCAAACAGCTCCCAGGACATAAAACTCATACAAAGAGATCACTACTGGGATGATAAGGACCATGGCATGGAGCTATATTTTTCCACCTTACTGTTATGCACTTTGGGAATTCTCACACATAAAAACTTCAGTGATGGAAAGCACAGAGAAAGGGTGCTTTGCACATAGAGGAAGTACTTATCCCAAACAGCCTGCCTGCAGATTACCTATGGGAACTTGGGCACATTGATGATGTGTCTCTGTTTAGAACCCTAACCAGGCGTCTTGCCTTTGAATCCAGACACAAAATACTTAAACCAACTTAACTCCTCTTGAAAAAATGTGGCTGCTAGGACAGAACATCCTATGTAGATAAGCAAGGAAAGGGGGACCACATGCTTTAATCCAGGGGAGGGGAACCTCTTTGAGCCTAAGAGTTGAAATCAGTTCCAAAACAACTCTTGGGACCTGCATTCAGTGGTGGGTGAGATCAAAAGCAAAAGGTTTGTGCTGAAGTCAAATGGGATTAGGCCAAATACAAAACCAGAGCAGCACATTTTAGCTTAAAGCTTTTAATACCAGTTATTAAGCCTTAGGAAAGCATGCATCTTCTTAGAAAGTTGAGGGGAGGAGGGACTGCACAGAAATGGGAAAGTCACCAAAGGATCAGTAGTTGTGGAGGAAGGGAGTGAGACCATTTGGGGAACCATTGGTGGGACAGAATTGGACCCCAAGCTGAAGTTTTCCTACCTCTGTTGTAATATGTAATTACTGCAACTATCTCCCATACCTTTCTCAGTCCACCTTTGTGAATATTGGGCCTTGTCTGAGCTGTAGTATTGTAACATGCTCTTGTTCTTCAGCAGTGGGAGCGCAACTGGCTTGCATGCGTCACTCTCCTCAGTCCATATGCTGTTCAGTAAAAGCTTTGACTCTGCCATAGGTGCTGTTTTTCACCCTAGTAGGATTTGGCTACAGCTGACTTCAAGGTGTGACTCTGATGGGGTGGGACAGACATTAGGACTCTTGACAGCAGTGGCCCCCACCTCTCTCTCTATTCGCTTGGGTTTTGAGGGAGACGGCCTCTTGGGGTACCTGTACAGTAGGTGCTGTTGTCAAGCTGTATGAGGCAGTCATTTGGGTGTAAGAGAGAAGAGAAGGGGAGAGAATGGAAGGAAGGGACATTTAAGTCTGTTGAGATGTTGCCTGGCAGGTTTAGTCTATCTGGCAAAATGGGATATATGGAGTGGTCATGTCTTGTTGGCTGCCACAGGGAGATCAGGCAAGAATTGCTGACTGGCACAGATGTACCTGGGTGTGTAGAGCCCCCCCCCACCCCGCACAAACATATTTCCCTGAAGTGGTGTTGTACTCTTGATCTGAACCAGACACCTACAACATAATAAGTATATGCCGTTCTATTTGGCTGGGGGTGAGATGACATGACATGGGAGCCTGTCTGCTGCTGTGGCTGAGTAATTAGAAAGCTGATCTGTCACAATCGCTGTACAGATTCAAGCTGAGGAAGCTCTCTCTTTTCAAAACACTTTTTCTCTGATGGGGCTTGCAATTCTTGTCTTTTGGTGTCCAACCCCACGCTATATGCTGTGAGCCAGCGGGGACCTTTGCTGTGGGTATGTTCTTCACAACTGCCTTTGTTGCATGTGTTTGTCACACTTACTGGCCTCTTGTCAAAAGAGTTTTTCCCCATCCTTGCAATGTTTTCCCCCTCTGCCTAGCTCCTTGGGTTGCTTTGTGGTGATGCATTGCATAGATTCTCCTCCCCTCCCGTTGTGTGGTATGCTCCAAACAGTGCTTGTGAGAAATATATGGGGAATTGGGTTTCTTCTGTAGAAATTCACAGGGGCTGGCAGTCGTGGCTTCACTGCTGGCTATGCCACTGGGGCTCACAGTGTGTGTGTGTGGAGGTGTTATGACGTGTGTGTGGTGATGAAGGAGTATGCTCCGGCATCTTGTTCCAGAGTTACGAGTTCATTGGCTCTTGCTGTGTGTGGACAGCACTGGGTGGGGGCCCAGAGTTCTGTTGGTTCAGTCCCTGATAGGGGAGAACTAGTGGAGTTTCCAGGGATGCTGTGTGAGTGCCATCCATTTTGGGTACTTCTGGTTATACATTTTTTCCATATTAGACTCCATTGGTATTTCCTGGTTATGTATTTTCCCCCATTATTGGATACAGCCACATATTGGATACAGTGGCTGTATCTAGCATAATGATGGCATATTTCACCACCCCCACTTCATTTCTCACTTGCTGTGCCCTGACAAAATGTGAGTGTAGGATTGCTCTGTTATAAAGATTTATAGCATAGCAGGAGGAATGTTATTGTGGTGCACTGCAATGACTTTAAGATAGAAAAATGCCATTGAACCCCTCTTTCGTTCTGATAGATTTCAATCAATTTTCTTCTGATCTTTTAAAAAATGCCCTTAATTTTGAATGTAAGTTGTCTTTGAAAATAAAGTTTCAATGCAGTGTTTTGATGTAGTGGTTCAGGATATTTAAGTGGAATTTTTCTCTTGAGAAGGACTAGAGCAAGATTATGAATTCCTTTGCAGGATCATTACATTTGTAGTTAGCCAAGACTTGAAGAAACATTTCAGATTCCTAGGTGACAGCCTCCCTTGCAGTTAGCCACCAGGGATTCTTCCAGACTTCTTCCAAAGTATAGTGCAAAATGGTAGCGTTTTGAAAAGTATTCCAGTAGCAATTAACTGATATTATCTTTAATTGGAGTTCTGTTTCATTAGTTACTAAAGCACAAATGTGTGCTGCAGGGCAGTTGCTGAAACTGATGTCTAAATGGCTTCACTTTGTTTTAGTTGTATGACACTGAGGTTAATGTGGCGCATATGCAAATCCTGCCACTGTTTAAATAGTGCTGCTTCTGATTTTTGCTTAAAAGGTCTAACATAAGGGTATACAATGTTTTGGATCCTGAGGGCTAGAGTGGGCGTCTGCTGATCTGCAACTGTGCAGTTCATATATACACGCGCATACATACAGGCATGCCCATTCATGTTCAACCCTATCAGGCAGACCTCTCACATGCTTACATCTGACTTCTGCCCAAGAGCATTTTGGAATCCAAGCAATTGCTTTGATCATATAGAACTAACACTCCTTCCAATGACCTTCTTTTTAAAGCCACCCCGCCATCTAGGAATCTTGCCTCTTAGCCCACCTCTTGTTTCTGGAGCATCCTAGGAAGCAGACAAGAGTCTTTCCTATGATAGGAATTATAGAGCAGTTATTTTTGTCCAGGGGTGCAAGAGGTTACCAGACAGAGCTTGGGGAAGGGGCTGCACTTTTTGTACCCCTGGTTAAGTTTTTCCCCATAATATTGTATCATCTTTCACTACCCTTACATTTATGCAAGAGCAGTGGATTTTTTTCATTGAGTTTGGTGAATCCTCTACTGTGTGTGGCACAGCTAGTTCACTGTAAATGGTGAGGATTTCCTTTCTAAAATATAGATTTCTTTGTCCTCTATGTAATAAAACTAGCATATATGCTCATATTTGTTTTAATAAAAGACAAATGGAAAATGTAACTTATCTTTGAAGAAATCTTTTAAGTAAATCAGATTTTCAAGTTTGTTTAACTGGGTTTGTGTTGAACATGTTGATTGGCAATGCAAGGCTGGATACGGAGGACTTTTTTAAAAAAGAGAGAATTGAAAATGGTTTGAGAGAGAAGTCTGTATAGTATGCACTACATTTCTATCTAATAAACAGGATTTATTGTTAATTTCAAGCAATTATATTTTCCCATCAAACCACATGAAGACTGGTGGAAAATACAATTTTCTTATACAATTTTTCTTCTGAATATGTACCTGTGAATATATATGTGTATTTGAAAATACAGTATCAATAAAAGGAAATTTGCATGAGCTTCAAAGAAGTCAGAACATATATCCTGTCATGAGCATGTTGCTCCACTTTTCTCCAGCAGATCAGGGCAGAAGGCTTTTAAAATACAGCCCTTTATTGATATAGGCTGGCCAGTTGGGGTCTGCCTCTGTTATACCGAATGAGGACTAATAAAGTGGTTAACTAGTAGCATATATCAAACTAATGATCCTTCTGATTAGTGGAGTTACCTCTTATCTATGTCAGGAGTTGATTCCAGACTGAATCCCTCTCCTGCCTTTTCCTCCCAACTGGTCTTGATGACAAACTACTAGGTTGATGAGGTCACACCCCTCCCCTTTGACCCTCCTTGATTATAGTGTCTCTGCTTTGAACCACTTGGCTGATCTCACCTTTTAATCTTGGCATTTCAGTAACACATTCCAACCCCTCTTCATCTTCTAGCTTGTCTTCAGAGTCTGAGCTTTGTAGCTTGCAGTGCTGTAATTTGGGAGAAGTGGGCCTAATCCCTACATATCCATATATTTATCCATTCTCAGGTAATGTCTGAATACCACCTGCTTAAATGTTGAAAGTGTTGTTAGGTCCTAAATCCATTCTGTTATAGGAGATGGACATTTATCTTTCCAAAGTTTTAATATCAGTCTTTGAACTGTCAAAAGAGCATCAAAAATCATTTATTATGACATTGCATTAATTTCCAAGCATCCAGTAAATAATTTAAGAGAATACATGTTTCAGTAATACTAAAGAGCATTTTAATGCCAAGTTTATTTATATTATAACCTCCTCCCAAAAAAGAAGCAGCAATTGGATATCACTGCAGCATATGTGTAAGGGCAGCATTTACTTTATACCTCTAGCAATTAGCTGTCGTAATCAAAGGCTTATTAAAAAGATGTTGTGGTATATGATAAAGACAAAGCAAAAGTTGTTGCTGAATAAGGTGTAACCTAATCTCTATACATGTTTCTGGCAAAGACACACAAACATTAGACAAAATAGGATAGTCCAGTTCCTATTTCTTTCCTGCTTAAGACCCTATGTGACATATATTCACTGAAAATAAGTATTTATGAATGTGGATTGTGAGTCAATATAACTGTTCAGCTTCAGTACCTACTTGCAACAGTGAAAGAGACTCTGAAAGTGTAAAAGTGACAGGGGCAAACCTAGATTCTAACTAACAGTATGATTGCCAGTATTGCCATCAGCTGTAGCAGGCAAATTGTATTTAGCATGCAAAACCAAAAAGGATAAAAACTCAGCATCAGCATCCACTAATTGACCTAAGGTAAAAATAAATTTATCCATCGATATCTGCCCCAGGTATCTTATCAATTTTTAAATCTGGGTTTCCCTATGGAGTCAATTTAGCATAAGAAAATGGATCAAACTGTAACTGATGTGATATCATATGGCACAACTCTCTGATATCCATCATTTGTAGAAACTCTATCTGCTTTATTATGCCAAGAACCTAATACATGATTAGGTGTATGATTTAATCTAAATGGAAATGACCAAAATTTTGTACTGGGCAACAGTTTCCAAGTAAAGCAAGATTTGCAAACCTACCTACTTTAATGTTGCATTGTTTTCAAATAGATTTGTAGTGGGGAGGAATTCCCCAAAATTTAAAAACAGGGTGTTAAGTTTTTGAAAATAATTTCTATATACAAATAGGGGAATTTCCAGTAAACAAATGTGAGATGTGTTTAACCAGAAGCAATAATGGGGCAAAACAAATGAGTTTGTATATGCATCTATACATCAGAGAAAGTGACCCCCGCCCCAATCCCTTTTATCTTCCTCAAATAATGTTGTATGTTCCTGACCTAAGTTATGAGTAGTTTCAAAAAAAACTATTGCCTTTTCTTCTTTGTTGCCTGGGCAACCCCCAAACTTCCTAGAAATCCTTAGATTGTTAACTACTTTTTTCCAATAATTTGTGCTGATTTATTACAACTCAGTGGGTTAATTAGGTATTAGGCACTGTTGAGTTTTGAGACATGAATCCTATACATCTACATAAAACTCTGCCTTTTACTTCTGCTGTGTTCATAGATTCCATCGGGTTTCGTATATGGACTCCAAGCCTTGGAAGTAGCAGAATATTCAGCAGAAGGTAAAGAGGAGTGCTGCCTTCTGGCATCGTAGTGTGTGCCTGTGTGCGAGTGTGCACTGGGATAGCAGTGTTGTACAGTCCTTGTATGGATAAAAGCAATATACCCATGTAGGCGTGGGAATATAATTGACTGGCTATCTCAACAGATTGCCTTTTGAGCATGATCAACTGATCCATGACATCAAGAATGCCACTGTATAAACGTTCTCACTTCCACCTTATTCCATCATAAGATTACTGGACAGTCATAGCAAGAGTGAAAAGCCTCTGCTTCCCAGCCATACAGGACTGAGGTTGTCTCATTTTAGTTTGTGTTCTCACTCTCACACACCCACACACATGCACACATGCATATGTAGTTACATGCAACCCCCCACAAACACTAAGCACACTCTTTCTCAGAGTCTTTCTGCACAATTTCTTCCCTCTCTGTTACCAATTTAGACACATGGCCTGTCCTGTCCTTTGGCTATCCCTTTAACTGCTGATATCTCTGAACATGAATGCAATAAATGACCATGCAGATGGTCTTCATAGAGGCACATGAAGGGAACGGGGATCATGGCTGCATCTTCATTGAAATGCACCTTGTGCTGAGAATGTTAACACATGCACATTGTATTGCTTGATAGAATTATACTACATAATTCTATCTGTGGAGATCATTTGGTGAGATTGGGTATGTTTGTATTTGTTACCAGCTAGTCAGACCAGAATAAAGCCAAAGGTTCTCACTCTTAACCATTTTTTTCCTTGAACTGACCGTATCTTTCCATGGACTATTGCTCAGGCAGTGGGATCACTGTCAGCTGAAACCAAACTTCTGGCACCTCAAGAAGTGGAACTCTGAGAATAGGTAAAGTTCATTTTTAAGAGGAAATCTTTCAAATAAAAAGTCATGTCACTTTCCTGAGTGAAACAGGTGAGGAGGAAGCAACTCTTTCACAAAGGACTGGCAATCTGCAACTGCTGCTCAAAGGTGCTTTACTTTTAGGCCTCTTTAAAGCACCGCCCCCCAAAAAAAGGTGTGGGTACATTCTCAGAGGCCCTTAATTTTGAATTTTAGAAGTTCCCTTTATTAAAAAAATGGTGACTTGACAGCATATCTCAAGTGTCCAACAGCTGGAACTATTGCTCAGTCCATTGCATTTATTATGGAAAGATAGTCCTTTGTGAGGTGTAGCATGATGCTCTAGAAGGGAAAGGACTTTGGAGCAGTCTTGAAAGCATCAGATTTTGTAATTAGTCTAGTTCCATCTGCATGTTCAGGTTTTGTTCTAATACCCAATTTTTCAGCATCTGCCATTTATTTTACACTATTTGTCTGATAAGTTGGCCAGGAATTTTTTGACTGGTCACATGCCAGCTACATGAAAACTGATGCTGTTCAGAATGGGAATATGATTTATAGGTGCTTTATGTAATCTCAGGGTTGCAGGTGTGACTGCACAACTTTTCAGACTTTCATTTTCTTGCAGTTTAAGTCTTGTTTGTAATCAAGGGGTGTAGGAATGTGTAATACATTTCATTTCAGTCTTTTCTGTGTACGTTGTGTTTATACTAGAATATGGCTGCTAAGTATGAAAGAGACTGTTATTGCTAATCTCCATCATATATCTTGTCTCTGAATTTAAACTTTGTTAAAACATTGCTGTGCATGAAACTTTGCTTAAGCGAAATTTTCTACAGGGAGAGGTCAACAGGCTGCCATTGTTGGTGCTTGAGTCACTGCCACTAAAACCTGGTACAGCTTTGGTTGACTGAACAAGGTTTGGGGCAATAATGAAGAGTGGTTGGCATTTGTCTTGGCATTGCCTGAATCAGGCCATTCAGGCGATTTCAAAGATACCATTTATGTATAGGAAAGCATCATGCAAATCATATGTGGTTCAGCACTAGGCACAGCATGTGGAATTTCACTGAGTGTACATGCAGTGAACTATGTACATTTGTTTGTATCCGATAAGAGAGGCAGAGTAAAATGCAAACTCCTTTACTTAAAAGTATAAATAACAATGGTAGCAGATTAACGGTTGTGTCTACAACTAAGCAGACTCCATTGCTACTTTTTGTTTCCTTTTATAAACTGCCTTCCTTCAGCTATGTATAATTTCAGCTCTCTTAACATTACAATGGCTTTATGTATCTCCCCTTCTTAAGAAATTTCCCTACAGAAACAACCTAGCATTTTATTACTTTGTAGTTAGTCCAAGCAGGTGATTGCTTGTTGCGAGCAAAATGTCCTTCAAGTTTATTCTCTGCTGGATAGGCCCATAGTCTGGTGTAGTGTTTAGGATGGGTGACCAAGGCAAGTCCTCCATTTCTGTAGGTTACTGGAACAAAATAGGAAGCATTCCAAGCATATCTGTCAGAAAGTTTATAAGTCTAAGGGCTTCTTTCAACAACATTCCGGGGGGCGGGGGGAGCATGACCTGTGTTCTTCTTTTCATAAGACCCAGAAAGAATTGCAATAGTTCTCTGCTTCTTAGCACCACAACATCTATCTGGATCTGCTTTAGATTTCCTTCCTTTCTCTTGAACCAACTCACTCATATTTATTTGTTTGTTTGTTTAAAAAAATTTTATGCCGCTCCCATCGCAACAAAGCCTCGGGGCGGCTTACAACAAAAACAAAGTTATACAAAGTTATACAAAAACTAAGTTATACAATAAAAATATTAAAACACGGTGCATCTCGGCTTAAACATTTTAAAATCCTACACAACAAATTAACACTTAAAATAAGTTTTAAATAAAAAGGTCTTAGCCTGGCACCAAAAACAAATAACGACGGCACCAGGTGGACCTCTCTGGGGAGTGCATTCCATAGGTGGGGCGCCACCACAGAGAAAGCCCTCCTCCGGGTACTCACCCTCCTAATATCATTCACAGAGGGTTCCCGGAGAAGGGCATCTGTTGCTGATCTCAAGGGGCGGGAGGGCATATATGGACGCAAGCATTCCTTTAGATACCCAGGACCCAAGCCGTTGAGGGCTTTATAGGTCATAACCAACACCTTGAATTGGGCCCGGACTTCAATCGGGAGCCAATGGAGCTGACGGAGAACTGGGGTTATATAAGAACAACGCCCAGTCCCCGTCAGCAGCCTGGCAGCTCTATTCTGCACCAATTGAAGTATCCGGACCATCTTCAAGGGTAGCCCCACGTAGAGCACGTTGCAGAAATCTAATTGGGAAGTTACCAATGCGTGTGTCACTGTCGCTAGGCAATCGTTCTCCAGGAAGGGACACAGCTGATGGATCAGCCGAAGCTGAAGGAAAGCGCTCCTCGCCACCGCCGTCAGGATCCAGGTCCCAATCCCGTCCTTGGCTTTCTTAAGTAGCCAGGATGGGCATGGGTCTAGTAAGCAGGTGGTAGGGCGTACTTGTCCAAGCACCTTGTCCACATCATCAGGCCACAACAACTGAAATTCATCCATTAATTGTGGACTCAACAGCGTCGTTGGCATCTCCTCAGTAGAATCTGGTTCAGTAGTAGAGTCAAGCTCGTGACGAATCTGAGCGATTTTCTCCCTGAAATGCCTGGCAAAGTCGTCAAAGCGGGCCTTTGAGGGTGGTATGAGATCTTTCTGATTCCAAAGGCATATCTGGCCTAGATTTTAACACTCCAGGCACATTCAGTTCAGTGTGCTTTTCTCTCATGTGCAATAACTCTATGGGTGAGCTCTGGGTTGTTGCATGCTGTGTAGCTCTTTGCAAAGAACAAACAAAAAACCAGTATCAAAACTTTTCCATGCCTTTCCTTCTAACTTAGTTGTTCGTAGACTTTTCTGTTAAAATGTTCAATAACCCTATTATCTTGGGGTTAATACAGAAGTGATTTCCAATGAGTAATATTACACTTTTCTAGAAAGGTTTTAAATTTCATTCAGGTGAACCAAGCACCCAAAATCAGTTCTTTAGGATTCCCTTCACTATGAAAAAAGGAAGGAAATTAGTAACTGTAGCTGAGGTAACTTGGGATTTGAAAACTACTTCAGTCAATTTGCTTGAATAATCAACTGAAGTAATAACATATCACGTTACCTTTGTACATTGGACATACCAAAAATGGCCCCAAACATTGTTTAACACAATGCATGTGGCCTTGTATATATTAACAAGGGGAAGGGGTAGAATATATGCTACCAGATCCAGATCTGAATAGGGAATGTAATTGAAGGCTTACCTGGAATGTGAAGAAAATGTGCAGGAAGACTGAGTGATAGAAATGTTGTATTTAATTAACACTGTATCCAAAATCTTTTATTAAAAATATAAATAAAAATGTAAAAAATACCAGCTTTAATTAGTACTAAACAGACACCATTGCTACTTCCTATTATCATTTATAAGTTGCTGTCCCTAATAATCCTAGGTCTCTTAAAGATACAGTGTCTTCAAAATCACAAGCCTCTATGCTTTTCTGGTTTGATTGCTTTCTGAAAAATAGGGTGTTTGATATTTTCACTGTTCTCTGAGTTAAAGGTAAAACCTGTTATCAAATTTATAATTGCCCAAACAATAAAGGGTGTGCAAATATTGATATTGATGACATATTGATAGCTGTTTTGCAATGTCAATTAAGTTAAATATTTTTATTGAGTACTATAACAATTTCCAACACAAGTTGTGTCTAAGAGGAAGGTGACAGCTTTGGTTTGAGAAATTCCTTTGCCAACAAGAATAGAACTGGCTTCAGAGGTGACACTGTCAATAGGAAACTATTTTAGGATTGTGATACGTGGCAAGTGGCTGCACAGCCTTATCAGAATGACACGCAGTTCACAATATCTTGGGGTTGGATGTGAACTGAAGGTTCTTTTAGGTCAATTCTTGGTTTCAAGGCAGGATCCTTCACACATTTATTCTTTTTCCAGCCAACTCCTACACCAATTAATCCAGTCTACGCCTACTACCATGTGCTGAAAGCTGAGGACATGGTTGAATGTGATGTCCCATGCTGAGGTCCGTGCAAACCCATGGCTCACCCTGGTTCAAGACAACAGAAGGCAAAAATCAGTTGCAGTCACTAGTGGATCTGAATGGAGGAATATAATTCATGATCATTTGTTCGACTTGGAGTTATGCTGCGCATTAATTATTTCTCAGCAAATTTGTTGGAAGGGGTCAAGGGCAGCAGCTGCAACACCTGGAACCTTCCTCACACAGGAATAGCATGAATGACACTGAACCACAGTCATCCATGTCTTGGTCAAAGTTGAAGTATCCCAGGGTCACTCTTTTGGTCAGTAGCCCCCACCCCAATTTCCAAGAACAATGTTTTTTTGCATATTTTGGGTAAGGATCTGTAAATTAATTATGACAGTGCAACAGTAATCTATTTAGCAACAAATATCTCAGATGATGAAATCAGACTTTATGTACCTAGGGTTTTTAAAAAAAATAATTTCCAACCCTTTGATGAGTTTTTTTTATCCATTTCATCAAATTTGCCCACACACAAATACATTTATCAGCCATGAGTTAAACAACAATTAAAACTTTTGTTTTCTAGTATGACCAGAAATGGTAAGGAAAATATGGAATTTGGCCAGTAAGATACTTCAAATTTTGATCTTGAAAAATGTTATTACAGAAGTAAATGAAGAATTGCCTGTTTTTCAGGAAGACATCCTATAGCATCATGAAGATGAAACAACTTTTTGGCAAGAGTTTATATAGTCCTGTCTAGAGTCTGCTTCTGAAATGCAGTTATTTATTTATTTATTTATTTATTTATTTTAGAAAATTTCTATGCCGCCCCATTCGCCAAAGCCTCAGGCGGCTCACAAAACATCAATTAAAATATAATACACTAAAAATATAAAACGAATTAGCAATATAAAATAAGTCG